TGGATGGATGGATGGATGGATGGATGGATGGATGGATGGATGGATGGATGGATATGTCAACAATTAATATTTGCCATTTTACAATTACTGCAATTAGTGTCATGTGTTGTATTTTTGTGTGTGAGACACTTTCACCATCAGACATGCATGTTAGCCTAAGGAAGGCAGCTCTGAGAAACTGATGCAAACCTTAACTCTACAAACATGTTTAATCACCTGAAACACAGACATTATCAAGCAACAAAAGGTGGACTAAGACCGGCTTACATGCGAGTGCAACTGTCATGTATTAATCATCACATTGATTATTGGCTAAAAGCCACAATTAACTGTGATAATTCTTTTTGACAATATTGTAGAGTTTTATTAAAAGGACAAAAGTACAAATCCATGTCACTTACTAGTGTCAAATAATCTTTGTATGCATGATTTGTGTTGTAGTGCTGACCTTAGAAAAGTATTCCTGTCTTCATTTGTTCAATAAGAAATAAAAATTCAAACAAAAAGACACACCAGGTCGCCCACGCATGTGATCACAGAGTCCAAACACCTCACCGAGTTGTGACGTTGTGTGAGGACGAAGGGTTCGTGCTCCGGTTCCTCTCTGCTGCTTGTTCACTGAAGCTGGAATCGTTTCTGCCACTCCGAGGATCAGCTAAGACACAAAAAYGATTTGAACGAGTAAGAAAGAAAGAAACAAAAAAGGACTGGACAAGTCAGACTGCTTCAAAAAATAAAGTGCAAGCGGTTATTTAGGATAGAGGTTCCCAACCTTTTTAGACGTGTGTACYCCCTAAGCCATTTTGTCATACCATTAGTACTCCCTCTGTCAAACATAATGATAATTCTCCAAAAGTATATGTACAAAAACTGATTATTAAATGAAAATTATTTATTTAACCTCCTAGAACGTTGAGTTCTCAGGCATTTTATTCTTTTCAAAGAAAGATAAAAGATAAAGATAAAAATGTTGCCATGAAAGTGAATAAGTCATTAAATAAATAAACCAGGTAACGACAGGTATTGGAAGCATCAGTGTCCAAAATACATCAGAACTCTCCCAAATGAGCAAATTCCATGAGATTCTGCATTTTATACTGGATTCCATTGTGTCAAATCTGTGATTTCCGCGTTGATGAAATCATAGGGCCCCACATACGCCAGTCCTATTTTTATTTATTTATTTTATACACCTGGAAAATTTTTCCATGTACCCCCTGTAATATCCTCACATACCCCAAGAGGTACACATATCCCTGGTTGGAAATCACTGATTTAGGAGATAAAAAGCTTCTGTCTATGGACAACTTTCAGAGCACGATTCTCACCCATCGCACTGAAAGACAGGTGATCATGAAATGACTGTGTGTTTATGTGCCTGTTAGAAAATTAGTTCATGAACCACTGAAATTATTTGAATGCAACTGTTAAAAACTGTTCACTGGGTGTGCATCTGCAACAGATTAACTTTTTCAGTCGACCCAATTTAAAACCGTCGTCACAACTAATTAACCTTAGCAAACACAAAATAACGGTGTTGAGCTAAAACCTGGGGTGGTAGTGGTTGAGAATCATCCCCTGCGCATACTCTGAGTGCAAGATCATTAAAGTGGCCATGGCATATTTTTAAATCCTTCCAGGGTTAAATGATGGTAAATAAAATAAACACATTTTTCACATTTAAATCATTCAGTTGGGGTCTATATAAAGAAGAACTGCAAAGCTTTGGTCTTAATTCCTCCACAAGCCCCTCTTTCACCCCTTTTCTGAGCCATCTCAGATGAACTCGTTTTGAGGCTGTCTCTTTAAATCCAACAGAGGTGCTTCCAGAGCGGTTCATTCCAGTTTAATAGAGCGGTTTACGACTACGGTATCTAGCGACACAGAAACTTGTTTGGTTTATCAATTTAATTAAAAGACGTCAACTTGTCCATCCAGTCTTACATGCTGGAGCCAGAGTCTGACCCAGAACCAGAGGAGAATGAAGACCACCAAATTGTATTTGGTAAGTCCAGACCATATTCAGAAGTCCATCACAAATACTGTGACGTAATAGATACAGACCAGATTGGCAGGTGCACAGGTGCTCACAATGAACAGTGATGTGCAGGTGGTGCTCCGTCGACAGCAAAAGCAGGATAAAAACAATGGAAAGACAGGCTACACACCAAGATTTAAGGTAAAAAGTAAAAGGTCCTTTAATAAAAGAATGGACCAGCCATTAAATGAGTTGCCTACCTATTGCCTACCTACCTATTGGAGTCACCGAGCCGGTAGGCAACTCATTTAATGGCTGGTCCATTCTTTTATTAAAGGACCTTTTACTTTTTACCTTAAATCTTGGTGTGTAGCCTGTCTTTCCATTGTTTTTATACTGTGACGTAATAGTCATAGAAAATAGAGAAAATGGAATTGGTTAAAAACCTGACTTAAACAGCAGCACCAGCACTAAATTAAACTTTTCTGCACTCCTAGAGACTCCAAGTGTACAACAGAATGCCTTTAACAGCCAAATAATTGGATTTTGTCTCATATGTCCCCTTTAATTAAAACATTTGACGTGCAAAGCAGCAAGTGATACGTACTCCTTCAAAGGAATGCTAGTTTCATTCAGAAAAGTAGTATTTGTGGTTATTATTTCTGTTTGTTTCTAAGCCTTACAGTTCCACTTTTATAAACGGCTTGCATTAACTGCTGTGTGTTTGTGCGAGTGAGCCACCACTCTGGAGAATTTCTAAATTGAAACAAGAAGTCAATCAGTAATGGAGGATGTGCAAACGAAGCAGCTAGAGCMGCTCAGAAGGGAGCAGAAACAAACACGTCTTTGCTTCGACGCGCACCGGAGCTAACAGGCTTTCACCGGAACAACAAAGAAGAGACAGAAAGGCAGAGAGGAGGAGGAGAAGTGGATCTTCAGATAAAGCTCTCGTCTCTGCCCGCTGAAAGGCCCCGCAGTCACGTCGGCCTTTGTGAGGGGGAGACGCGACGATCGGCAAATCAGGTTGGCTTTTCCTTTTGGCACTCAAAAGGAAAAAGAAGAAGAAGAAAAGCGATAAAGAGGAAGAGAAAGAGGCCATCCCTCACACCTCTCACTGCRCCCGTATCCATCCAAATCAGCACAGTTGTCAAACAGACAGCTATAAGCGATTTTMCAACGCTGTTTTGAAAAGGAGCATTTCTAAGCTCAGATCTGTGTTCTCCATTGTGCCTTTTCTGTGCGTACAAGCTGCAGCAGAATCTCTGCTCATCTGGATTGACAATGAAAGCACAGAAACAGAAGAAGAGGTGCATAGAGATGTGGTGTTGAACACTTTGAACAACCACTCAATTTGGTAGCGAGTCAATTTTTTTGCGTAAACACGGAAAATCACGCGAGCGAGAAACATGGTCTCTTTAGTTGTTTTTTTTTTTAGCTTTTAAATGCAAATCATTTGACATTTTTTTAAGCAAAAGGTAACAACTGATGAGACAGGATTTCAAATCAGCTGATTTTATGTTTCTTCTTCATGGAAACTGCTGCCAGTTTGTTTAATGTTTGCCAGCTAGGCACCAAATCTGAGTTTAAACTTGCCAATCAACTTATTGACCTTTCAGTTACTGTTGGAACATTTAAAGATCAGAAAACAACTAAAGAAAGATTTAAAAGTCTGGAAACTATGAGAAATAATGGTTTGATTTTTAATTCCTACAACCAGTGAAGATCCCAGTAAATAAGTTGTTGTTGTTTACTGTATATGAAAAATCAAGACTTGATTGTGGAGTTTAAAACTATTTCAGACAACTGCCTTGATGTTTTTGCAGTACTTTTACTGTACTATAAAATACAGCCATATAT